GTCAGTGTCACCTCAGTAGAGTCAAAAGTAATCTGAAGACGCCACAGCGCCCCACGCCGTCACTCCCTAGCACAAAAAAAGCTGACTAGTACTTTTGCTTCCTTGCCACTTCCTCGATGAAGCAAAGCAGAATGTTTGATTCTTGCTGTCTTAAGCATAGACAACAATGTCCACTATCTTTACTATGGTAATAAAGTGGGAGCAGGATTTACCTTAATTGTCCCGCTAAAGTAAGAGATGTACTGTCTCTTATTAAAATACACTCTGCAACACTGCACTGCAAGGAGCAGCGGTCAACTTGACCACGTCGCATACTCGTATGGCATCTGTGATCAATTACTCACTGTAGCAGTAAACAAGACACTTGCCCCTTCTGAGAGGGCTGGGCCCCTCAGGGCTGAAAGGGGCTCAAGGGGCTGAAGGGGGCTGATACCCCCCTCCTGGAGAAAATTTCTCCACAATTATTGTTGTTATTATTATTATAATTATTATTATTATTATTATTTTTATTGTTATTATTTTTTTTATTATTTATATTAAGTATAGTATAGTAGTAGAAAGAAGTTTTTTTTGCACTTTTAATTGACAAGTGCTAACCAATAAGTCCATTCATGACTATGAACAGAGAGGAATCAAAGAGGACTCGTAAGGGAGAAGAACCTTTTTTCCCTTGGAAAAGGGCCTACACGAGCAGGAAGGGGTCGGAGAAAAAAAAAAATGGGCATTTTTAATCTCTGGGGTTAGCTGTGATACTTGCCTTTTCCAGGCGCCAATTTCTCACTTTAACGTTCCCTTATAGAAATTTCACAAAAAAAAAATATTTATTTCAATGCGTTTAAAAATCCGTTTTTTTTAAAAGTATTAAAGACTTTTTGCAATAAAAAAAGTGAAAAAATTAATAAAAAAGAATTTTTTACAAAAATTTTTCACCATTGTGTACTCGGGAAGCCCATCCCCACCCTCGACCAGTTCAAGCAGGGACGTCTCCTGCTAGAGTGTCCCCCTGAAAAATCCCTGGTTGCGTTGAATGGGTCCCCATTTTAAGTCCTGGTGTTGCTGTTGAATGTCTCCCACTGTAAGTCCGGTGTTGCGTTGATATGTCTCCCTGTAAGTCCTGGTGTTGCTGTTGATAGTGTCTCCAAATGTAAGTCCTGGGGTTGCGTTGATAGTATTTCCCTGTAAGTCCTGTGTTGCTGTTTTATAATGGGCTCCCATGTAAGTCCTGGTGTTGCTGTTGATAGTGTCCCCCAACTGTAAGTCCTGGGGTTGCTGTTGATAGTGTCCCCCCAACGTAAGTCCGGTGTTGCTGTTGATAGGTCTCCCACGAAGTCCTGGTGTTTTCTGTTGATAGTGTCCCCACTGTAAGTCCTGGTTTTGCGGTTGATAGTTTTCCCATGTAAGTCCTGGTGTTGCTGTTGATATGTCTCCCACCGTAAGTCCTGGTGTTGCTGTTGATAGTGTCTCCAAATGTAAGTCCCGGTGTTGCTGTTGATAGTGCTCCCACTGTAGTCCTGGTGTTGCTGTTATAGTTCTCCCACTGTAAGTCCTGGTGTTGCTGTTGAAAGTTTTCCACGGGAAGTCCTGGTGTTTGCTGTTGATAATGTCTCCCAGTGTAAGTCCGGTTGCTGTTGATAGTGTCTCCAACTGTAAATCCTGGTTTTGCTGTTGATAGTGTCCCACTGTAAGTCCTGGTGTTGCTGTTTAATAGTGTCACCCACTGTAAGTCCTGGTGTTGCTGTTGATATGTCCCCCACTGTAAGTCCTGGTGTTGCTGTTATAGTTTTCCCATGTAAGTCCTGGTGTTGCTTTGAAAATGTCTCCCATGAAGTCCTGGTGTTGCTGGTTGTAGTGTCTCCCACTGTAAGTCCTGGTGTTTTCTGTTTATAGTGTCACCCACTGTAAGTCCTGGTGTTGCTGTTGATAGTGTCTCCCACTGTAAGTCCTGGTGTTTGCGTTGATAGTGTCTCCCACTGTAATTCCTGGTTTGCTGTTGATATTGTCACCCCACTGTAAGTCCTGGTGTTGCTGTTGATAGTGTCTCCCACTGAAGTTCCTGGGGTTGCCTTTGATAGTGTCCCCACCTAAGTCCTGGGGTTGCTGTTGATAGTGTCCCCCCACTGTAAGTCCTGGTGTTGCTGTTGATAGTGTCCCCACTGAAGTCCTGGGTTGCTGTTGATAGTGTCCCCACTGTAATCGGTGTTGCTGTTGATAGTGTTCCCCCCTGTAAGTCCGGTGTGCTGTTGATAGTGTCCCCACTGTAAATTCCCCGGTGTTGCTGTTGATAGTGTCTCCCACTGTAAGTCCTGGTGATGCTGTTGATAGTGTCTCACTGAAAATCCTGGTGTTGCTGTTGATAGTGTCCCCCCACCGTAAGTCCTGGTGTTGCTGATTTATAGTGGGCTCCCACTGTAAGTTCCCGGTGTTGCTGTTAAAAGTGTCTCCCACTGTAAGTCCTGGTGTTTGCTTTTATAGTGTCTCCCACTGTAAGTCCTGGGTTTGCTGTTGATAGGTCCCCACTGTAAAATCCTGGGTTGCTGTTGATAGTTCACCCCCCTGTAAGTCCTGGTGTTGCTGTTGATAGTGTCTCCCACTAAAGTGCTGGGGTTGCTGTAGAAGTGTCTCCCACTGTAAGTCCCGGGGTGCTTTAATGTCACCCACTGTAAAGTTCCCTGGTGTTTCGTTGATAAATGGGCTCCCACTGTAAGTCCGTGTTGCTGTTGAATTTTCTCCACGTAATGCTGGTGTTTGCTGTAAAAGTGTCTCCACTGTAAGTCCTGTGTTGCTGTTATATGTCTCCCACTGTAAGTCCTGGTGTTGCTGTTGATATGTCCCCACTGTAAGCCTTTTGTTCTGTAGATATTTTCCTCCCATGTTAAGTCCGTGTTGCTTTATAGTGTCTCAACGAACTTTCCCCGGGAGAATTGAAATAATGTTTACACTTTAATCCTCCCAATATTATAAATATTAAAATTAATAAAGTATTAATGGATAAATTCCCATGACAAGTCTTTATTAAGCAAAAATGTGCCAATATAGTGTTTATATTGTGCAACTGAATTTTATGCTAATAATTCAATTTACAAGTCTTCAGAGGACCATAGAACTTCAACTTTTTGCAAGAAATTTGTGCGGGTTTTACTTCAAGAACTTTGGTTTTTTAAAATTTATAAAAAAAAAATTTTATTTTTTAAAAAAAAATTTTTTTTTTTTGGGGAAAAAAACGATTTTAATTTAGTAAAAAAAATTTAAAAAATTAGAAAATAAATTTTTAAAAAATAAATAAAATTTTAAAATAAAAAAAAAATTAATTAAATTAAAAAAAAATAAATTTTTAAATTATAAATTTTTAAAAAAAAAAGTGGAAAACTTAAAAAAATTCCCCCTTGTTTTTGGGGGTTTTAAAGGAGATTATTTTTTTAAGTTTATTTTTGAAAAAGCCCGGGTTTTTTTTAAAAAAAAAAAAATTTTAAAAAAAAAAAAAAATTTTTAATGAAATTTCAATAAAAAAGGAAGAAACGCGGTTTTTAAATGAAAACGCAGGGGTTGGGGAAATTTAAATTTTAAAAAGGGGAAAGGAATTGCCCTAATGAAGGAAAAACATGGTTTTTTAAAAAAAAATTTCCTTTTTGGAGAAAAATTTATTTTTTAATAAATAATATATAAAAAGAAAAAAAAAATAAATGGGAATTGGGAAAGGGGGGTACCCGGAAAAAAAAAAACTTAAGGAAAATTTGGGATTTTTTTAAAGTTTAAATTATTTTAAAATTTTTAAAATTTTTTTTTTTCCCAATGGAATATTTTAATTAACATATTGGAATGCAATAAGATTTTAAGAGAATACATTGTGAATATAAAGGTGGATTCCAATTAATATATTAGAATAATTTATGTTACGTGTGTATACATTATAAGGAAATCTAAATCCACTCCTAAAGAGGGGCGTGTCCCAAAATGGAGCATGCTTAACCCCTTTGAAACAGTGCCTTGAGCGGGAAAAAAAACTAGCGGGCCCTTGATTAGTTTCCCCAAATGAGAAATTTTATCCCAGTTTAAGGAATTTAGATCCCCTTTCCCAATGAAAGGTTCATTGGGGGAAATATAAAACGATATAATTTTGGAAGTTCTTCACATATTTCTAGATTTTTGTGAATCCCAAAGCGGCAGTGCCCTCCTTTCCCCTGGTGTATTGGAGATAGTATCAGCCAAGGTGAATGTATATTAAATTTTCCAACGTTCCAAGGTTGAAGGGTGATACCATGGCGCTTTTGCTGCCATAGATCGCATAGTTGGGTGCTCCTTAACTGCTGGGCATCCAGCTGTTGGAGCCCACTTGATAATGTTTAACCCTCGTTTGCAATCTTTCCTGATTTAGGACACAAAGCATTACCGAATCTTGTTAATTTCAAATACACCTGTATGGAGAATAGGCGGAAGTAAGGCAACCTAATGGATGGTAGTGGGTGAGGTGTGCCAAGGCTGGATTGGGAACTCCAACAGAAGCCCCAGCTGCCATGAGCAGGCGGGTTATCCTTTCCCACAAAACTCTGAACTTTGAGGCAATATATTTTCAAGGACCACCGTGCGATTGTTTGTAGTTATGGGGGAAGCAGGCTGTATTCTGAGGTTAGGATAAGATACATTGCTCCGTAAATGATTTGGTTGGTAATTTTGCCCCTAGATGTTCAGGGAGAATCGCTGTACAAAACTTTAAAATAAAATACAAACGATAAAAAAGAATTGTAACGCAATCTAATGACTTGCACACCATCCTCCAGTACGGACAGAATATTTGTTACTGTTTTAGAGAAAGGTAATTATTCTAAAATCTGCTCATAAAACTTATATAACGTGTATATTTATCATTTTATACCTAAATTATGTCAATCAGATCAGACTTTTTAAATAATATAATTGGTTAATTTATTTTTTTATTTTTAATTATATATATATATATATATATAAATATATATAATATATAATCGGCCGAATAGGCAGATCGATTGTTAAAAACAACCTCATCTTGCCATATAGAAAAGCAAAATTTTTAAAAAACTTAAATCATTCTTAATTAATGAAAAAAATAATATTCACGGTGTTTGATTATTTTTAAATTATTGTAAACAAACAAAAAAAATTTAGTAGTGTACAAAATAAATTTTGCTCTGGTTATAAAAGTGTAACAGTTCTTTCCTAATACTTTTGGTGCAAAATTAAATTTTTTTTTTCATTAACATAATAAAAAATATATCTTTAAACGTTATAAGAGAAAATTTTAGTAAACACTTAATTTTAATATATTTGCTAATTACCAGTTTTTACAAAATATTCGGCAAGACATTATCTAATATTATAATATATAAATATATATTATATATATATATATATATATATAATATATATATAATATAAAATATATATATTTTTATGATTAGCTAAATATATATATATTTACGTTATATATAAGGTTTATAGTTGTAGACGCAACCACCCAAAGTACTACCGTCCTCCAAACTTTGAAACAGAAACTTTAACGTTTTGCGTGATTAATTTCTGCTTTTTATTTTTCATCACATAAACACGCAGATAAATATCTTTGAAACTCCCTAAACATTGTCAATTCACAGACACAAAATCATATATTTATTTAATAATATAATATATAAATTTTATATAATAAATATATATAAATAAATATAAAATAAATAAAAAATTTTATATAATACATATATATCTATATATTATATTATATATAAAATAAAATATATATATATATATATATATATAATATATAATATATATATATATATAAAATATAATATATATATATAATACATCTCTAGGTTTTCTCCTTTTTCTAAATAGCTCTTGTTCTTCTTTATTTCTCTATTGTCCATGGGGAAGTGGAAAAGAATCTTTCCTCCGTAAGCCATGCGTGTCGTGTGAGGCACTAAAATCCCGGGGAGCAATGGGCTAGTAACCCCTTCTCTGTAGACATTTACTAAAAAAGAGAAGAAAAAAACTTTAAAAAAAACTGGGATGCTTGAATGTGCGTGGATGTAGGCGATGACAAGAAACAGATGATTGCTGATTTATGAATGAAAAAGAATTTGGATGTCCTGGCCCTAAGTGAAACAAAGCTAAAGGGGGGTAGGGAGTTTTCGTGGGGGGGAAATAAAGGGGAATTAAATCTGGAGTATCTGAGAGAGTTAGAACTAAGGAACGTAGCAGTAATGTTGAAGGATCAGTTATGGAAGGAGAAAAGAGAATATGAATGTGTAAATTCAAGAATTATTTTGATTAAAGTAAAGGTTGGATGCGAAAAGTGGGTCATAATAAGCGTGTATGCACCTGGAGAAGAGAGGAATGAGAGGAGAGAGAGAGATTTTGGAGATGTTAAGTGAATGTATAGGAGCCTTTGAACAGTGAGAGAGTAATTTTGGTAGGGGATCTGATGCTAAAGTAGGAGAAACTTTTAGAAGGGTGTGGTAGGTAAGTTTGGGGTGCCAGGTGTAAATATATGGGAGCCCTTTGATTGAACTTTGTATAGAAAGGGGTTTAGTTATAGGTAATACATATTTTAAGAAAAAGAGGATAAATAAGTATAAAAGATATGATGTAGGGGAAATGACAGTAGTTTGTGGATTTATGTATTGGAGATAAAGACTGTTGAGTAGACTTAAGGATGTACATGTTTATAGAGGGGCCACAAATTCAAGATCACTTTCTAGTTGTAGCTACACGGGAGAGTAAAAGGTAGATGGATACAAGGAGAATAGAAGAAATCAGGGAAGAGAAGGTAAAGGTTTTATAAACTAAAAGGGAGGCAGTTAGGGTAAGATATAAACAGCTATTGAGATAGAGGGGCTAATGAGAGCATAGGCAATGGGGTCGAAGAGGT